GATTATGGTAAGAATGTTCCCAGAAAGCAAAAGCTCACGAATCCCCACACAGTGCTCACATAAGGGTGGTGAGTCAGGCGACAAACCCCACAGCAGCAGCTACAAATAGTCAGCGATGGCGTTGAATTGTTTGCCACCAATCTGTAGGCTGGACAATGTTTGCACGGGGCGGGAGGATGGTCCAGTGGTTGGTTCAGGCACGGGCACTGGTGAATTTCCTGCTCTGCCACGGATTTCCTGTGTGCCCAGGGGCAAGTCCCTTAGTCTCGCTCTCTGCCTCGGTTTCCCCATCTGTACAATGGGGATGATAGCACTGCCCCGCCTCCCAGGCGTGTGCAGAGATCAAGCCAGTTAAAACAGGTTGTAAAGTGTGTTAAGGTTGACAGCTGAAAAGCACTAGATGAGAAACAGGCATGGGTTTTATTTTATTGTTGATTTACTATTCCATTCTCCCTCCCCCATGCAATGGCTCCGTTATCTATCTAGCCGTCACGTTGCCAGGGTGGCGCAGTTCCCTTCTCCCAGCCCATGTTCAATAATGCACAAGTAGGTAGGTGCATCAAGGGGGATTTTGCCTCCCTTGGAGGCAAGGAAGCTATTGGCCGCTGCTAGTTGCAGGAGGCGATGGGTCAATAGTCTGACCCAAGGTAGCAGTCCCATGCTCCCAATGATCCCTGCATGCTATCCCGCCCCTGGCTGTGCTGGGCACGCAGAGATCTGCTGACAAGCGCCTAGTACATGGGACTGGGGCAGAGGGGGGGGGTCAGTGCAAGGCTGTGGCGTCCCTGTGGGTGTCTGTGTGACCATGTTTGGTTGGTTGCAAAGTTAAAAACCAATCATCCTTCCATATGAGTCTTCCAGGCTGGCGAGCTGCATTCACTCTTCATTCTCCTTGTGCATTTCCTCTCTCACCAAGTCATTTCTATGGGGCTTTCATCACCTCCCGGAAGATGCTACATCACTTCTTGACACGATGCCAGGGCAGAAAGCATAGGCGTAATCTCCAGATGGACGCCTCCCTCCGGCTCGGGGTCAGTGGTACAATCACAGAGGAGAAAACTGGGAGTGGGTGTGAAATCTCCCTGTCCTTAATGACCCCCCAGCTGTCTCAGAGCCACAGGTCAGCCAAGCACTGCCCAGGGAACGGGACCCCGGACGGTGACCACAATCCTGCAGGTAAATTGAATCTCTAAGCTCACCCCTGAACTTGATCCATCAAATCCACACACCCTTCTTGGCTATGTTTTTTATAAAGTTCTACGTCACAGTCCTAAGTAATGAAGCAGAATCGGTGTGTGCACACAACCGGTCATTTCCTACTCACAGGCATGTTCTGGAATCCATCCGAAAGTTTGGTCAATGCCTTGTGAACTTGCCAGAGCCTGAATTCTTAGCAAACTCCCCCGGCAGTCCATGGAATGCAAACCCCATTCCTCTCTAGTCCTCTCTCCCATCTCACTTGCAGCCATGTCCTTTGCTCTGGGCCTCCACTAATGTAATCTTGCCTCCCTTGAAGCCACTCAGCCTTTGTAGCTGCTGCAAAGATCATTTCCCTAGCCCATTGCGTTGGCCACATCACCCCTCTCTTTGAGTCCCACCACTGGCTCCCCGTTCTCTGTCACATCCAACGTAAGCTGCCCGTCTTCACATTGAAGGGCCTTCACATTCTATCCCCAGCCGACCTCCCGTCTCTCATTCGCTATCAAACTGTCCGCTCCGCCTCTGGCTGCAGCCTCCATCACCCACTTGTTACATTTGCAAACAAGCCCCTTTGTGGTTTCTCCCCTGCTCCCCACAAACATCCACAAATCCCTCCTTAAAACCTCCTTTGCCGTGATGTCTCCAAACCCCTTCGCCACAGCTGGTGCGCAGAGACCACTGCCTGGCCTATTGACCGATATTGTCCCGTCGTTTCCCCGTGCTCCCCCATCGGTCCAGATCTATTTGTTGTCTCTTGTCTTATGCTGAAATTTCAAGCTCTCTGGGACAGGGACCGTCTCTTGTTCTGCCCAGCACTAGGGGGTCCCGGTGCAGGGCTGGGACTCCTTGGTGCGATGGGAATACAAATAATACTAGTCAATCAGCAGTAATCTCCACTGGAAACTATGGGATTCTGTCCTTCTTGGTTCCCCCTGGGAGTCAGTCCAAGGATATCTTCAACAAAGACGTGGTCCTTGTCAATTTCAACCACTGACCTTAGCCGGGGGCGAAGGTGCCAGCGCGGAGACGTGTCCGCGCTGGCGCTGAACCAACTACAGAAGCGTAGCCACGGCAGCGCAAGGAGCGGGAGGGGCTAGCCCCCGAGGCCATCCAAGTTCCTAGCACATGCTCGGGGCGGCCAGCCCCTCCTGCCCCTGTCACTGCCCGGGCTGCATGCTATTTTTAGCACGCTAGCTCGCTCGGAGCCAGGCTGGGGTAGGTCTCCTCGAGCTGGAATCCACATCTCCCGCGGGAGGGGTCATTAGGAACTGTTGCTGGCTGTTCCTCGGAAGGCCTGGCAGGAAACCTGGGTTTCCGGCACAAGTTCACAAGGTTAGACAGCTGAAAGGCATCAGAGTGGAGCAGGTGATGTCATGCTAATGAAGCCCACAGACCACAGCCGCTTTCTCTAATCAGGCCAGGACTAAATGTCCCTTGTCAAGAAAGTCCAGCCAAGTCATTCAGGAGCCAACCCCACCAGGAGCGGAGAATCCTCAGCGCCGTTCCCATTGACTTCTAGCATCAAGAGGTGTTCAGCACCTTCCTGGATTGGGCCCTTGGTGAACCAATCAGGCCACCATGTAAAATGCCACCAAAGTTCCTGACTTTGCTCTGCTGTTATCTTGGACCCAGCCCTTTCTCTAGCTCCTCCCATCCAGGCTATGTCTAAATCTTACCAATTAGTCCTGCCTACCACCTCTAAACTCCAGCCTTTCCTCTCCATCCACACGGCTAAAACGGTCACCCACGCCCTCATCGTCTTGTGTCTGGAACGTCTGCTCCAGAGACCCGATCTCGCCACCACCACGAGAATCGGGGAACTTATGAGCACCAATGTCTATAGGCCACCACGTTGCGCCCGGCCCACGCTGGCTCCACCAAATCGCAGCAACCCTCCCACATGGGTTGGCGACGTCGATAGCCGCCAGACATCCTAGAGTTATGACAACGGCTGCATGGAAACGGGGGTTTGCTGAATACCTACAAACGTAACCAACTACAAGGGACATCAGCCTCCTTAAAGTGGCCATGAAAAGGAACATCCCCCGTGACTGCAGGAAAGCCAGCGCCCCCTGCTGGTTGGCATACAGGGAGACACTGCGAAAGGAGTAACATCAGGTAACCCTGCTGCTACAACCGCGCACCTGGAATCACTGAACTCCGATGGATAAAAGCTATGCAGGGCCTAGATTTCACCCACTCAAGCAGGAAGGCCTGGAGGCTGCTCCGTAATCTGGGCGATGCTCACCCTTCCCAAAGCAGAGTGCCACATGTCCCAGCCACCGCTACCACCACTCAAACCTTCCGGCATTCCAAGGCTCAACCAGGTCGTCGTCACAAAAGGAAAGTGAAGAAAAAAATGTATCACTCCCTGTCCGACCTCCCAGCAACGTCAAACCCATCGAAGCCGTTCACTAGAGAAGATGCAGACAAGGCCAAAGGGTGCACCAACCTTGGCCAGACTACAGGTGCGGCTGGCATCTTCCCAAAACTTCTGGCAAACCTAGGTCAGCTTATTGACTGACCTGCTTCCTTACCAGTGTGCCTGCCTTTGGCCAAATGGCCAAGATATGGGGCAATGGGCAAAAATCCCCACTGTCCTGAAACCAGGGAAAGCAGCCAAGAATCCGAAAGACTGCGGGCTGATCCCATTACTGCGTGTAAAGTATACACCCTTGGGAAGGACTCACATCCACCTCTGAGGACTACATCCCGAAAGAACAAGCTGGATTTGAACTGGGGCAATGCACCTGTGATCAGGTAATCAGACCGATGATCTACATTGGAGCCGGCTACTAACCCAGGCTTAAAACAGCAGCTGCCTTTGTGGACCTGTCCTCACAATAAGACATGGTTTGGCAAGATGGCCTGCTTCTGAAAATGTCAAAAATAACATGTGGCAGACTGCCACTAACTGTAAGTTTTGCAGACGTATAATGGAACAGACCAGCAGGCGTTCATCTATTGAACAATAGGCTTCCACAGGGATCTGTCTTGGTACCATCACTCTTCAATATCTGTATCAGCGACATGTGATCAACCCAGTCACGATCCTTGGTAAGTTGTTCCAATGGTTATTCACTCTCACTGTTAAAAATGCACGCCTTATTTCCGGTCTGAGTTTGTCTAGCTTCAACTTCCAGCCATTGGCTCGTGTTAGACCTTTCTCTGCTAGATTGAAGAGCCCATTGTTAAATATTTGTTCCCCATGTAGATACTTGTAGACGGTGATCAAGTCACCCCGTAACCTTCTCTGTGTTAAACCAAATAGATGGGGATGGGGATAGAGGTGCATTGGGGATGAAGGGATAGAGAGATGGACGGAGGGATGGGGATAGAGGTGCATGGGGATGAAGGGATAGAGAGATGGACGGAGGGATGGGGATAGAGGTGCATGGGGATGAAGGGATAGAGAGATGGATGGAGGGATGGGGATAGAGGTGCATGGGGATGAAGGGATAGAGAGATGGATGGAGGGATGGGGATAGAGGTGCATGGGGATGAAGGGATAGAGAGATGGACGGAGGGATGGGGATAGAGTGCATGGGGATGAAGGGATAGAGAGATGGACGGAGGGATGGATAGAGGTGCATGGGGAATGGATGGATACTTTGGACCCTCAGCCTCTTTATCCCTTCCTCAATTTCCAGCATACCCATCTCGGTGCCGCCCAGACCCCACTGGATGTGTTGGGAGCCTCTTATCACCGGCTGATCTCTCCCCGCAGAAGTCTTAGCAGGGAGCAGCGCCCAGTGGATCCTTGCAAAGGAGAAGGAAAAGGACTGTAAAGGGAGCGGTGAGCCCTCACCGCCCGCCGCTGGCCTCCTGCAAACAGGGGCTGCGGGGAGGCCCTGGCGCGAGCCAAGCTGGGAGTTTAGGTTTCAGTCCCTGCGGACGGACGGCTAGCCCTGCCTCCTCCCCTCTCACATCTGCAGCTGGGATTGCAATTTGAAACACTGCCTGGGCTGGGCCAGGGCTCGGGGGTGGGAGGAAAGTACTTTGGGAAGCGAGAGGAAACCATAAAGAAAGGCAGAAGTGCAGCCGGGGTGGGCTGTCGGAGGAGAATGCGCCAAGGCCAGCAGTAGCCCTTCTTGGCATGACCGTCTGCTGGGAGAAAGGGGGGATCCGGAGACCGAGAGGAAAATCCTTGTGTGGGGGCTGAGGGGAGCTCGGACGGTCTCTGGGCTGACAGGGAACAAGCTGAGCATGGAGGAACTGCACAGCTGGATCTAAAGGCATCAGCGGCTCAGACAGGCGGGATCAAAGCTTCTCTGTGCCGCACCTCAGAGGTGAGCGTACGCTGGGCCCTTTGGGAGACCTGGGCTGGGGGTGACGCTGTGGGGCGACCTGGGACAGGGCAGCTGGCAGTCACCTGAGCTGGAGCTGGGAAGGGGCTCGAGCGGGGGAGCGCTGGAGAGGGGGGCAGAGGCTGGTCTGTAATGTGGGGAGGGGAGCGTGTTCGAATGGGCTGTAACTCCGGATTCCTGGCTTCTACTGCTCGCTTGGGCAGGGAATGTGGAGCGAGCCCAGAGTGGGAGTCAGGACTTGTGGGTTCAACTCCCACCTCTGGGAGGGAGAAGTGGCCTGCAAACAGGAATCTGCATTTCTGTGGGTTAGCCCTGGCTCCGCCGGCCCGGGCCGTAGCGATACCCGAGCCCTGCCGACTACCTGCCCCCGCAAAGCGTGTTGAGTTCTGCCGATGCCAAGCACCGTATGCAGCCAGCCCTAAGTATTGCGAATTGTTCGTGCCGGGAGGCCCGCAGTCTATTCCCACTCCGCCTCGGGGTGGACTGCCGTCCTGCTCGCTTGTCTCCTCTGGATAGTCATTGCCAGCAGGACAGCGACATGTTTTCAAACAAATGGCCGATGAAAACCCCGGGTCCCTGGTTCATTTGAGGCTTTTCTGTCCCAGCAGAGCCATAGACATTCTTGCTGATTGGGACGGGAGGTCAAACACTTCAGACCGGCAAACTTTACAGCTGCAGCCGAACTTCTGCAGGCCCCAAGGAGCTTCTCCATGAGGAATACTTGGTAATTCCATAGTGTTGGGTCTGAGAGCAACACTGATTAACTGCACCTTACGATGCCTCCCCTGCCAGGGAGAGGCTCCTAATTCCCCGCTTTATACGGGAGCTGCCCTCACCCTTCTGCCCCACCCAGCTCTGACTTCCCTGAGCTGTAGCTAATTTATTTCCCTCGCTGGTTTCCATGGAAGCAGAAATACTATCAAGCTCTAAGAAACGTTGCTTCTTAACTATTTGCAACTTGATCCAAAGCAGTAAGTGCTGATGATCTTCTGAGGATCCCCTTTATCTGAGATTTCCAGAGCCGAGGGGCTGGGCTCATTCAGGGAAGGGGATGTCTTCCCTGCAGAGTTATCACATCCCAGGTTAGCCGCATGGCAAAGCCCGACCCGAGTGACCATGCCCTCCCTGGTTCTGTGCACCCCCGTGTGTCAATAGGACTTCTGGAGGTGTATCCCCCAGTGCTTCGTGCTGGGGGGAGCTGAGCCGCTCTGTGAGACCTGGGGGAGAATGTGTCTGTGTTTGCGGGCACACGTGTGTCTGTGTGTGCGCCAGGCTGGACAGGTGCGTTTAGGAGGTGGCGTGACTTGGCTGAGGGTGGGTGAAGCTGTGGGCTGTGTGGAGGCGATCGTGGATGGGGTAGGCACGTGCGTGTCGGGGTGTGTGTGCGTGGGTGCAGATAGATGGTGGGTGTGTGGTGAGGACTGTGCAAGGAGGTGTCTGTGTGTAGCTATTTGTGTGGGAGGGACAGCGGGCTTGTGCACAGGTGTGATGTGGGGTTTCGTGTGTGTGTTCACGGATGCATGTTGTATGGCATACAAGGGAACCCTCCCCAGTAAGGTGCTCGGTAGAGAACGGAGAGAAAACCCTCATTTACTCCCCCAGACAGCCCTTGAGACGACACCTCCCTCTTCCCCCTTGTGAGGCTCCTCCCACAGGCCCCCCTTGTCGCTGGGCACCCGAGGAACGACTGTACCTACTGGCAGTGCTAGTGCTAGCTATGTGGGCCCAGGAACAAGCCACGCTTGCATCCAAAGCTGCTGGAAAGTGGGAGCGGCTCTTAGTTCATTGCCGTCTCTCCCCCTGGTCCCTGACCCCACAGCCCCCACAGGGCTCTGCTCCAATAAGCAAGTCAGCCTCCGCCAGAGACACACAACCAACCCCGGGCTGGAGAGAGGGTAGCAGATACAGGAGCAACCATGCAGAGTCCAAAGACACCACATCGTTCCCGGCCTAGGGCCAGGATGTGGTGCTCTACTCTCCTGTGGGTATTCACGGCGCGGCAACAACCACAATGGGTTACAGGCTATGACCTCTACCTCTCAAGGCCCGGCTTCCCAGTTTGCTTTTGCTCCCAGGGAACCTGAGTTTGTGGATCTCCTCCGAGTCTGTCAACACCGGGCGCTCTCTGCCCAAGAGGAATCCGACAGGGCCGCCCAGAGGATTCAGGGGGCCTGGGGCAAAGCAATTTTGGGGGCCCCTTCCATAAAAAAAAGTTGCAATACTATAGTAACATGTATTTGGAAATATAAAAAATAACCAGTTAAATACATTCAAAAATTGATTTTTAATAATTTGAAAATACACAAAATACATTCTTTAAAAACATTAAATGCTTTAATAATAGTATGTATACATTTGCAATTACATAATGGGCTGTCGCTGGGTGATGGTGATGGTTGGTGCCAATGGGCTGTCGCTGCCTGGGGGTGGTGCTGCTGTTGCCCAGGGCTGGGTGGGGAGCTGGGCTCTGGGTTGGGGGGTGTTCCGGGCTCACAGGGGCTGGGCTCAGGGATGTGGGGAGATGGGGTCAGGGGGTGTCCGGCTCAGAGGGGCTGGGCTCGGAGCTGGGGGTCATGGCTGTGGGGGGATGGGGTCAGGGGGTTGTCTGGCCCAGAGGGGCTGGGCTCGGAGCTGG